GTGGCTTGGATCACATCAGCCTTAGACAACACATTCTGGGCAAAAGCCTAAGACAAACACCCAACTCATTACATTATCAATCACCAAAACAGCAGATGCAGTATTTTCAAAACCAAACTGAGCTTTACCTCCACAGGGTCTTGCCGCTCATCTGATTGACTTGGGGGGACATAGAATCGCACCTCCATCAATGACACCTCTGTCTCGTCAGTTTGGTGAAACTCAAGAGTCACTTCATTTTTCCCAGTGGCACATTGGGATACATTGGACAGTGGGATCTCAAATGCTGGGTTATCGTTAATGTCAAAAGATAACAGTGGTCCTAAAAAATAATAATATACCATTTATAATACAGCTTCACCCATACTCTTACAGTAGCTCTACTGCTCTGAAACCAAATTCAATATATGTCAATAAAAGTCTATATATATATATATATATACCTGAAAACTTTGCTGTTCCCCAGTTCCATCCCTTAACACACATATCCTTCTCTGTGAGCTCCACTTTGTAGTTAGCCTTGAAAAACTCCGAGATCTTTTCAAAGTCCTGAGAAGCATGGGTAATGGAGAAATTATAAAAAAATAACAGGCCATTACTAAGCAAATAAAAAAGCTGGCATGTTGTGAGCAACTCCATAACCTTAAAAAGGGTAAAGAGAATGTTAATTAATCAAGACACAATTATGACCCCGCCTGCTCCTGAGGCCTCCTGGGAAGTCCGGAGGTGCATGCAATCCATCCGCTGCTGTCTGTTCTCCACCACTGACAATCAGCATGTTTATTTATCCTGCAGGGCCGCTTACAACTGTGCACAAGAGCCTAGCGACAAACACATGGTCAGCCACACACACACACACACTGCTACGAGTGCACGCACATGTGGAAGTGATTGTGTTGTTCAAGTTAGACGAGAACAGGGCGCTGTGGGAAGCAGAGTTTATGCACCTGGATATCTGCCTGTCCATGAGGTTATTAAACCCAATTAAAGCTCAGAAAGGCCCATGCCTACAGTAAAGCTTTGGGTTTTGTTACCTTGGATCCACACCGCGTTTATAGGGCCAATCATATGAGAGCAGATGTGTTAATGTATAAAAATCTGACTCCGTCAAAGTGTGAATGTGTCCCTGTTCATTCATCAGGCCTGCTGTGCTCTGTTTATCCCTGCTCATTACAATTTTGGCAGAATTGTTGTAACGTAGCTCAGTTAATCATAATAAACAAAGACCCCCCACTGAGCCCCGCAAGACATGCCTGTCTTTCATCACTGTCTCCTACTAGCCTCTAACATTTTATAGAGCTGATTATGCTACTTAATAGGGCTAACCGTAACCTGATACATAAGCAATATTATACTAAGCAAGAAAAATTTTAAATGCAGCATAATAGATTGGGAAATACAGACACTGTTAGAGTGTTGAACGTAAGTGCATGAGCCAGGTTAGGACTTTCATTCATAAGTGTAAATGTAAACTAACTACTAAAGCAATTAGAATCAAATATTTGCCATCAATTGGTCTTATACAGCTGTAGTAGTCTTTTCTCAACATGTATAAATGATTGCAATGTGTCAGCAGACATGATGTCCAGTTAATAATCATATTCAAGGACACATGGACAAAGCATGAATCAGATTGTCTGCTGTGCTTGGCTCTCCAGCAGCTCAGCCTTCTGCCAGGTCCCCATTACAGACACTGTCTGTGAGATAATAAACAATGACATCAGAGCCTTTTCTCTGAGACTGAGGATCCATCTTTTAAAAATGCTGATTAACCCCAGGAGACAAAGACTACAAGTCAATGCCCACTGCTACAAGTTTGAAATCCCACATTTAACTTGAGCCCAAATACAAAGAGAAAGGTTGGAAAAAAAGGAAGATAAAAAACATTTTCCTCATCCATCTTCAATGCCAAATTGTTTCAGTGAATTGATATAAACACTGACTCGCATGAGTCGATGATTACACTGTTTATGTAACGCACATGCTAGCACCAGTTTCCCTCATTAATCCCATTAGGAGCTTCAGGGAGAAGACCTCATTCACATACTTTATTGGAAACATACACATAGGGGTGGCCTATTTGTAAGATGGTAGCGTTTTTCTGTTAAAATGTCAGACAGAGGATGGAAACTGTAATCAGCAGTCGCCTGCCTGTGTAGCCTCTCCCAGCCATAAACAAAGAGCAGAACAAGTCAACAGTGTGTCTGAGATGTTCCACTGCTTCCATGCTTTTTCCTTTAAGTAAGAAGGCAATTATTTCCCAGAAATAGGATGAAACATACAAGAATCCACTAACTTTTAAAAACAGTAAAAAACTAAATCATAATCAACCATAACTAGTAAAAGGGACACTACATGTCTACATTACTCAACTGAGGTTTGAAGTGAAAAGTAATGTTCAGACAAATGGTCTCGCTCAGCTTTTGTGTGTCATAAACTCACTGTATCCTTGAAGCCATCATATTTGTAAATGTGTCCAGAGCTGGTGCCAAGCTTGATACCGTGACCCAAACACACTCGTCTCCATTGGGCCTGGTTTAGGTCTGAAGCTGCGATGCTGTCCACCTTACCGGTCTTACTACTTTTATAAACAACATTCTGTTTGCTGAATCGAAGACGACCATCATTCTGTTGAGATAAACATTTTATTAATAGAATGCTTATTGCCTTCTCACATACCAATTTAATACAATCAATAAAAAATATATATAATTTCATATGACATTTTTAAATATCAGGCCTTCTTATTTGTGACATTTTACAAGTTTTATCCTAAATTTTTCTTAAAAATACCTCACTTTAAAATATACTGACCCAGGAGCCTTTCACTTCCTGGAAAATCTCATTAAACTCCAGTGTGTCTCCCATCCTTTTCAGCAGACTGACAGATAAGAAGTTGCTGCAGACAAATAGGAAAAGAATTTCAACAAAAAAATATAGTAATGCAATGTGCATGCAACCAAGGTTTTTTTCTATTTTTAAATCAACAAACAGACATTATGATTAACTAATGGTGTGTGTCGTTATGTCGTGGCAAGAAAAGGTTTGTCCATCAGAAGCCATGATGAGAAATGGCACCAATTTTAAAAAATTTGATTAGATTTACAATGGGTAGCAGCATTAACGCATAAAGACAAATTGCTGGGCTGATTTGACTAGATAAATAGAGGCTTTTAGTGAACACATTATACTAAAAAGCAATGAATATTATAATCCACTCTCACTGCAGCAGCACGCCGAGCTCAGTGCAGCAAGGCCGGTGACAATGAAAGAAACCAGTGCGCGTTTAAAGGACAAGTTAGGCTGACTACAAACACATGTGGTCATTAGCAATGCCTACGTGTTTCCAGTAGACTCTAATCAAGGGCCTAATAAGCAGAAAAACACAATATAAAAACTTGTAATCTTACTGTTGATGTGATGCTTGCGATTCCCGCGTGTAGCATATGGGGCTAGCGTTACGTCACCGGAAACAAACGGTGAGTGTAATAACTTCCGGTGTCGAACTTTTGTAAATGGTAAAAATTGATCTAAAAACACATACATGACGCTGTTTCATTGCAGCGACACGACACAGCATTTTGATAATTAAGTAGAAAAAAACAATGCTTATAATAGTGTGAGTGACTTTGATACAGTAACTCGCAATCACCACTAGATGTCGCACAAAACATCCCTACTGTTCATTGCTCTGGACCATAGATCGTACATTCTGGACTGTGCCTGTGCAAGATCTTAAGTCAATGTGCCTGAGTGGACTGTGTTGAACGCAGTAGAGAAACTATCCTACTAAGATCATCACCTTACACGCATGCTGTCCTAAAAATAAATAAACAAAGGATATAACGTTATGGAGCTTACAAGTTTGATCCAAATTTTCAGATTTTCAGATAAAAATGTCTGTCCTATCCTCTCCACCGCCATAGTTAAGAAACACCTTCCAAAAAGGGCAGAAGAAGGAAAAAGAAATAATTTCACTGTATACTAAAAAATATCCTTTACATTTTTTCCCATAAATCCTAAATCTTCTAAACCTAAATCTTAATCAGGCCATTTTCCACTGAGAAGTAGCCAGACTTAAGCTTTAGAAGTGTAATTTTGTGATAATTGCTGTATGTGATTTCCGCCTCTCACCCTTTCATAATTTGCAGCCTAGTGATCAATTGTGCAAAGTGATCTACAAAATAAAACCAGGTAAAGAGATTAGCAATCCGGCACAGGCGCATTAAGGCTTCTGAATTTATTATGCGCTCGTTTTTGAACAACATCTAATGTGAGGTGCGCATGTTGAAGACAGGGAGTGTAATATAAGTTATGATGCTAAAATAGGCCTATATGTTGTGAAGTGAAGCATTCGGTGCGCGCAACCCTGCACTATACTCATATACAGTAGCGACATTTGAAACATTATGCGCACTTTCAAAAGCCTTAAGGTTATAGGCATTTTTACAGAATGGAATAGCTATAGCCTATGTGATTATTTTTGATAATCTGTGTTATCACTGTGCGCAGAAATAAAATGACAAAATAGGTCCATTTAGGCTAGGCCTACAGGCTCAATCCATCAATAGTCAGTTTTAAGCGCCTATACTAGGTTATAGTATCGCTACCCTGGGTCAAAAAATATAATAGAAAAATCTAAGCCTAATGAGATGCATAAACGTCAAGAACATGTGTTCATATTGTATAATTTTCAGGTCTGGAGGCCTTCTTTGACCTGAACCCAGCATGACATCATTAAAGCGGACCAGAGCACAGATCAACAGCCGCTGTCAGATTGGCTTCGGGACGATGACGATTATCCCGAGACTGAAATGAGTTGGGACAAGTCTGACGAGTCCCGTTCGTGGTTCACTCAGTGCCTCATGTCAAGTGGAGCTGATGCGTCAACCCGGTGATTCACCCGCGCACAGGGGTGAGGAGGAGGATAACGACATTGGGAAACACGGGCAGGGAAAACCGGGAGAGAGGGGAGATCCAGGGGAGGAGGTGGAGGAAGCTACAAAAACCTCCACCGTCATTCAACCAGTCACAGACCATGCGCGCGACTTGGCCGCCAATACAACACCCGCAACTTTCTATTCAACAGTAGACTTAGCAGCACCTGATGATAACCACAGACACTTTGTGGATTCAGAAATAGAGCTCAAGATAAAAATCTACCAGAATCTGCAGACTTGTCGCTTTATTTTAGCTTTACAGTCTTGAGTGGATGAACTTCTGAGAGCGCACTGAGGGGAGATAACAGGATTTGGAAAAATGAAAAGGTTCTGCAGAGGTAAGTTCTCATATTTATAATTTTGGATAGTCCTTAATCATAATAATTACAATAATAGTCACACTTTCCTGATATTTTTACATCAACTGTATTCATTAGATTCTGCGTTATTCGTGTTGGCGCACACATTTACGCAAACAATTGTTGCATAAATAGAAGCAAAAGGATTTAGGCCATTTCATTAGTAACTAACTGCTTCTCTTGTTTATGGTATGGATAGGAAAACATTAAGTGTAGTGGGATTTTGCACATTATTATTATTATTATTATTATTATTTTATTTGAGCCATTAAAAATAAATAAGAAAAAAAAAATCAATTACTATATACTTTTTGATAAAGGGTAGATTTAATTTGCTAATTTATTATTTAAAAAAGAACCTTAGGTTGGTTTGTGGTGGTTTACTAAAAGAGTGAAGAACCCAGTGTAGGTTGTTGAGAAAGTCGGGGTTCAGCACAGTAAAAATGATAGGGGTGTAGGGGTCAGAGGCAGCTAAAGCCCCTGTCTCGTTAGCTGTCATTGATATGAGAAAGTACATGATTCATGTTAGTCAGGGTGTGAGAGGAGGACACACACACACAGTGTCCTCAGAGACAACTGTGCGGCTGCTGCCCCATGTCCAACTGAGCAATGATAGCAAGAAATAGTAGAGAAATATGCAGCAATTATAATTCAAGTGCAAATATGTGAACAAAAACATTTTTGTCAACTGTTGTACAAAAAAGCTTTAAAAGTTGAAGGTATGAAAAAGATGTTCAGCTACCATAGACATCTTATACTGTTTGCAGTGTGCTAGAACAAATAAAAAAAAAAAAGTTTTATAATGTTAAATGAACACATGCTGCTTAATGTAGTGCATCTGCTGAATTCTGTTTAACATGGTCAAATCTGTGGATTTCTATCAATTCAGATTTGCCTATCACAATCTTAAGATAAATTAAACTGATAACACATTATAATGCTACACTTTTAATAGTGATTCAGGCTAAGTAAGTACTTAAGGGATTAGAGTTAGAAGTTAGGGTAATAATTAAGTAGTTACAAAGCTTGGATCATTCTTAATAAACGATTTGGTCATGCATTATTAAGGCTAAATAAGCTGTAGTTATTATAAAAGAGTACCTCTAAGCTTAAAATCATCACTACAACCTGAATACAATATGTTTTGTTTGGCACTTAATGGTGAAAGGATTACCTGATTCTAAAATTTCTATTGAAAATAGTGCAGTGTTATTTTTAATCAATTGTAGGGATCCTGGGTATAGACACATGCATGGGAACATAGAGAGGTTTGGGCTATCTCAGTCTCTCACAGACACACAGGCATGTTATTGCAGTGAGGCTTGAATTAGTGTCGGTGTGTTTCGCATAAAACCGTTAGTGTGTGTTGGACCCAAACACACTGGGCGAAAACAAAAAGAAGGCAAGAGGAGAAAGAAAGAATCAACCTTCCCCATTTTTTTGATTTCCGCTGGGCCAGTCTTAATTTTTCACGGTGTGCAGGATATAGACAACAGGAGAGCGAGAGCAAAGCATGGAGACTGATAAAAAAAAGTAAATAAGAGGGAGAGCGAAGGGGGAGAGGAGCTGGCGGTGGAGGGGTTAATGCAGTGCAGATTCCCGTTTGACAGAAGTTAGCAGCACCCAGAGGGAAACACACAGAAAGGAGGGAATGATATAAAATGAGTCGGTCACGCTTTGAACAGTTACACATGCTGTTTACATTTTTCCCAAATTAACATGGCCCCTTGCTTCAGAAAACTCTCCCCCACCAACTCCCTCTCTCCACCAGCTCCTTATCCTCAGCTCCTTCTTGTCCCATCATTCATCTATCTCCACTCAAGAACTTCTTCTGGAGGGAGGACAAAAATGCCATAATTAGTGAAAACAATCAAAGCATATTACATATCAAAACAACAATCCAGCTGATAAACATGTTCAGAGTTTATATATAGGCAGTTTGTTCTTTTACGTACAAGACGATTACATTTAAACCACATTAAGTTGTGCCGTCAATATTAGTATTACAAAAGCATTTTAGAGGTCCCTGATTTTTACCCACTTAATTTTAGTAAATGTCATTAATTTTTGCGTTTTCATACGATAGCAACAGCAAAACCTTTGCACCAGATGCACTGCCTGATGCAATCCACACTAACATAGGCCTAATTAGTCCACTGATTTGTAGTAAACACATTAGGTGATTTACATAGCCTATTCTACTGACTATTCTCAGCAAACAAAGTTCACTATTTGTAAAGAATAAATGAAAATAATATAATCAAAGTTGCAACAAAGGAAATACCAGGTGTAACAAATTTGATGAATGAGCATTTAGCAAAAACAGGTGTGGGCCTATTGTTAGTAACGCCTCTGCGAAAGATATACTTCTGGAGTTTTTATATGAAAAGTAACAATAATTTTATTGACACTAATAAAGATCAGATTTGGTCCATTAACCCAGGAAAGATAAAAGTACATCATAAAAAGTTGCTCCAAGTGTAAATATGGTGTAAATTATATCAAGTGCACTCAGAACAAAGTGATGTAAGCAAGATATCTATAAACATATTGAAACGATTTGATCAAATGTTTGCAAAAGCTTCAAAATAATATCTTGATGCACTTGACCTGACCGGACTAGTTAAGGGCCCCGGTTCAGACATGAAAAAGAGAGGTTTTTGAACATGGATGTGGACGGAGTCTGGATTTAAATGAAGAAAAGATGAAGTCGGGTAAAGCGTGTTGCCAATTAGTGAGAGGAAGAGAAGAGGAAAGGTAATTAGGGAGTGAAAGGAAAAGGACTTAGGAATCAAAGTTTGATCTACCAGAGGATCTGAGGAGCGGGGGCAGTGCGATGAAGCGACAAGAAATTGAAGCCAAACATGGTGATAAAACGCAGATATAAAGAGGAGGGAATCCATGGATTTAAAAAGTATGGGAAGATTAATGCTAACTTACTGGAAAGGTGAAGACTGCAAAGACAAGATGCTGAGTGTATAAGTTTTACAAATGGGATAAAGACACGCAAATAAAATATATGATAAAAGTATATGCTTTCTTATTTTGGGGGTTTTGAGATGACGTTTGGCAACCTGAGTGTGCGTCCAGCGCCAAAACACACTGATGTGAAATCCAAACCCTAGAATAGGGATGGGACAAGAATATTGTTTATCGCAATAAAACAGCAAGACAACAATTGTTAGTGGTACATTTTGTATGCTCGAGATAATCAAGAGCAACAATAATTGCCATGTACTACCAGACTGTTATAATTTTGGCCACAATTTAAATTCTGTCCAAAGCTTACTCCAGAACCAGCTATTTCCTCACAGAATGATGATGTGTGTATTATTGGCACGCATGTCTTTATCAGTATATTCTGAACATAAAGTAGGAATTGTTTGTACTCTAATTAGCCCGTGCACTCTTGTGTGTATCGAGTTAGCGCAGGAATGCACGTTTGATTGAGGACAAGCTGCAAATAAATCTGTGTTTAGCAGTACACAGACACAAAACGATGATGTTTTTCCACTGAAGACCACTCACTTCTTTGGCATACAAGGCTGGGCCAGGATAAAGCAGGAGTTGTTCTTCTAGATGTGATTTACCAAATAATTATAGCTAAATACAGCTTTGAATTTGGCACTGATGAGTCTGATCTGTCAATAAAGCCTCACAGTCTGCCTTCGGGCTCCTTGTCTGTTTGCTGTAACTGACAGTAAACACGCAATGCAAATCAGATGGAAGGGAAACTTTATGTTTAAAATACTGAGAAAAATGATACACAACAAAGAGTGACAAATAATGTATGGAATCTTTGTCCTAACCAAATATTGCGTGAAAACATTGTTTTTTGATTTATCAGCTTGAACTATTTTCAAAAAGATTGACATAGGGCAAAAGACAAAGAACATCTCTGTGCTGGACCAGCAGTTTGGTCCCTATGTACACTTTTGATTTATTCTAGTTTCTACCTTCTTTTCAGACTTGCATTCATCCACTTTCTTTCAGCCTGAAAAACATAATTTTTTGTACAGTACTGTTTCTTCCTATTTTCACCTCAAAGTTGAATGAGGCATGTTAGAAGTGAAGCCAAAGGGGAAGCTTGCACACGTTCATCAGTATCACGGCTGTAATCAGATCGTTTTTATTGAGTCTGGACGGAAATAAAACAAACGTTATAAAGTGAATCAGGCGGGCTCTGGGATAAATTAAACTCAGACTTTTTCAGATGCTTAGACTTTAAACCTGTCTCTAATATCACTCAACAGACTGCGCTAGCTGTTATTCACCCATAAAGAGCTATAATAACAGGTATGGGACAGGGCCGTAAATTAGGTGCTGTCACTAAACTTTTCATGTGGTGCATTTAAGGACTTCTGTACAATGACAAAACCTAAAAGTGGTGATTGAAAAAAATACAGAGTAGTTATGTTTTTAGTAATCTCAGAGTATGTATTGAATAGTAACATGAATCTTTTCTGGATCGGATCAATAGATCCTTAGTTTGGTCTGTTGAAGGTCAGCCTTGGCAGTGTATCTTGATTTTACTGGACAAGATGTGCTATTGCAGAATTGCATATGATAGTCCCACAAAAGCAAAATCTGTTTTAACCGCGAGTTTAAAAACATCAACTGGTGTTGGATGTTGTTACTGTTGGAAAAGATAAAATAGCCTTACATCAACCTCAAGCAGTTGGTGTGAAAATAGCAGATCAGCCACAATTTTCACTGTTCAGTGTTAATTCTTTTCTTATTTCTTCTGTTACACTTTTCAAATATTTCCAATAATCGAAACATTAGACTAGTTAAAATATATATCGAATGTAAAATAAATATGTTTGTATATACAAACCCAATTGTAAGAAATTGGTACTTGTGATTTGAATCACAATAGACTTTAAACAACACACAGCATTAATCGCTCAAATCAAATGTTGCAAATGAGATCAGACATTTGGAATGAAAGAAATGTGTTCCAGGTCTATACATGGATACACAGATATGAATGTAAAACTAATGCAACATAATTAGATTTTATAGCCCACTCTCAGCCCACATGGTAATCTTAAAGGTGCTCTATGTACCTCTTTTGTTGGAGAGCCCTCTACCTATTTGAATGTGTTTATATTGTATTTTCTAGTCTAACAGCGAGAAGTCTTCTCTTGCCCTAGATCTGACTTGTAACTTGGCCTTATGGCATGTCCTGCTCTTCTGCTTTTCCATTTTGATAGAGGAATTAAATGCTGTAGTACATTCTGGGCAAAGCAATAACAACTCCATGGAGCAGGTGGTGGACCCTCAACCAGAAAAGTTACATAGTACACCTTTAATTTTTTTCCGCATCTTAAACTATTCTCCTTCTTACTCTGAATTAAGTTTGTGTTGGGCCAATGTCAGGATTCAAACTCAAAAACACATGGAGACGCACTGTAGGATCAGGTCACGGTCGGCTGGTTTAGGGAACCCCTGTGTCGCTGTAACACTATCTGTCTTCAGAGAAAGTTCTGGATTCAACCTCGCCCCGCTGCCAGGTACAACCCATACACCCCCCACCTATACCTCGCCCTGAACCCCCAGGGCCCGCTCTGAAGTCACTGCACTTACTCAATATATTATTATATAACAAATTATCTGGATTCGACTTATCTCATACAGTTTAAGCTGCAGCCAAGGATGTTTTCAGACATGTCAGCGATCAGTCAAAACAAGAACTCCGTCTGGCAATCATCTTCAAAAACCATGTGGCAAGAGACTAAAGGAAATAGTTTAGGTTGATTTTTGGACAATTTTCCTTCCTTCGTTCCAGTTTTTTCTTTGTACCTGTTTATGCATATTGAGAGTTTTAGCTTCCAGGCTGTTTACACTGCTGATTAGGGGGTTGTTTTGATGCTAAAAGAGAAGGAACGCGTGGCTTGACAAGCTCCAAATGTCGCTATAAAACATCTAATGCTGATGGTGACAGGTGATGAGGCGGGTTGTCCTGAACATGAAGAACATGCAAGGTGTGTGTGGGAGCCAGTGGGAGTGTCCAGGAACCAACCACAGTGTTTTAGATAATAGTCTTGTGAGGATGCTTTGATGTCACCGATTAGCAAGGCGGAACAGGTACAAGGGTGCATTACCAGCTATTAGCAGTTTTTTTTTTCAACATTCTGCTTCTGGGGGTTGTTTGTTCGGTTTTGTGTCCCTGTCAGTCAAGTTTGTCTAATCCTTTTTTAATTTCAAACCGTCAGATTCTCAAGCTATTATTCAATTTGTCATATAAACCTGGGATAACTTTTCATTATGCTTTATTTTTCTAACAATGCCTGGATACAAGAATAACAGCACCAGGCTATAGGTTTAAATCCACCGGTCTCTTCTTTTATTAAACATGGGATTTGGAGCCATATTTTCACTATGGATTACTGTTTCTCAAAATGGGGGTCAGGCTCCTGGTATCTTGTACAGTACAGATTTAATTATATATATATATATATATATATATAATGCCTGGAAAGTAAAGGCATCAGTGGTGCCTGTGGTGATCGGAGCACTCGGGGCTGTAACCCCCAAACTGGAAGAGTGGCTACAACAGATACCGGGAAAAACAATGGACATCTCAGTCCAGAAAAGTGCAGTACTGGGAACAGCAAAGATACTGCGCAGAACTCTCAAGCTCCCAGGCCTCTGGTAGAGGACCCGAGCTGAATGAGGGTGAGAGAGACCTACCACCGTGGAAGGTGAGAAACACATTTTTTTAAAATTTATTTATATTTTTTTATATATATTTATTTATTTATTTTTTATTTATTTATTTTTTATTTATATTTATATTTATATTTATAATAAAATGCTTGGTTTGATTTGGCATATTTAATTATACATGCTTGTGGTATACATTTCAGGAAGCAAATTAAAATTGTGAATAATATTTTAACAGGTCTGTCTACCTTTAATCGATTAAATGATTGATGATTTTACTTTAGATATTAGTTGCCTATTATTTCATTTAGATTATAAGGGTTTATATGGGACAACATCAAGCACGGAAAAGGAATGGAGTGAGTTTACTGAAGATTTATGAATGAATCATCTGTTTAATCTGCCTTTACATAGTACTTTTCTGTATAAATAATGTGGTTGCCTTGTTGGTGCAGAATGGGTCTGATATTTTTATTTTTATTTTTTATTTATTGACATTTATTTATGGTTAGATTGTAGAGATATTGAAAAAAGCTTTTGCTAGTTTCGCACCACTGTCCCATTTAGTCGATTAATCAATTAGGAGGGCATGTCTTTAGTCAACCAAGAATTACTGTTGTTGACTACAACCCTGCTTTTTAAGGTGGAAACACACCCATACCCTTTAATATACATTTTTATGCAATGAGGTGTTTATAGTATATATAAGTTTCAACCCTGCCCTGTTTTGAACGGCCTATACTTAGAAACAGTTGAGTCATAGTACCAACGTGCAGACTTAGTTTAAGACATTAAACCTCCTGGGTGGTTTTTAGATAAAAGATGCAGAAATAGAGGGGCGGCAGTTTGGGAGTGGGACAGCTAATCGGGGTTAATTGTCGGCTATTATTTTGACCCAGGGCATGAACAAGGTAAGAGGAGTCGAAGTGGGATTTAACCTATAACAGAAACTGGAGAAGAAAAGGAAAAGTGCAGAGATTACAACAGGGCAGCTCTAAATTGGCCTTAGGTGTGCACTAGGGAAACCCATGACATTGTGCAACACATATTTCTCACCTGCTTAAGAAAGGCATGTTTGGTCCATAATTAGAAGCGTGAATCACAGGCTGCCAACGTGTGTCACAGTGTATGAGGGTGGACAAAAAGGAAAAGGATGACGCAGGGTGAAGAAAGTTAGAAAATGTGAGTTATCTTAAGGAAAAAAAAAACAGTGGACAACTTGAAATACCCTAATGTTGAAAACCAGCTTTCAGCTCCCATTTTCTCAGTTTGAAACCAGAGACACAGGGCTCTAAAAGATATCCACTGTGACAGACCTCTACTCAAATACAGACAAAAACCGTGTTATGAACAAAAATGTGAATTTAATCCCCATATTCAATTATGGATCCAAACATTCTCACAGACACTCAGCCTGTAACATGAAACACCTACACAAACAAGAGCAAAAGTAAACAGCAGCGTCGGCTGTAAACATACAACTGATGCAAACACATTAATGTTTGTGATTGTAAAGAAAGCCACATGTCTCGCTTTTGGAGATCAGGAATGAACATGGGGGATTTTGCCTGACAGATCAGTGCATTTGCCTGATCGCTGGACCCTATTATTGGCTCCCCAAAATGAAGAAAATGAGCCGTATGCAAACTATGAACAGTGTTCCCCAACAGGACTACATTTCATTTGAATAAGGAGCACAAGCAGTAAGTTCTTGCAGTAAAGAAAGTGACATTTTAAACTTTTTAAAAGAAAAATATGAACTCTTAGTGAATTTACTGTATACATTATGCGTATGATTCTGATAAAATCTCTGTAATCTGAAAAAAAAAATTATTATTATTCATTATGCATAGTGCATAAAACTGGTTGGCAACAGTTTCTATCTGGAAATAAATGTTCAACAACTTGATCTATCTAAAATTGCCTCACTGTAGAGAGACTAATCAAAAACATATAGGATTTCCCATTAAATTTGTATAATCGTCATTAGAAGTTAAATAATCAGTCTTAGCGCTGTATTTTACACACTGTTATGATTTTAAATACCTCAAGAGTTTTATAATTAGGTCTTGGACACAGGAGAAGTAAGCGTCATCAAAGAGAGTTTTAATGAGTGTTTTTATTATCTTTCCTGTCTACAGTTCATTACACGCAGATGGTCATGCTATTGGCCGCTGCTGTGGCCTCAGCCCTGGACCCCAGCGAGAGGAGCTCCATAGAAAGTACCTATGAGCTGACCAAGTACCTGGAGTATCAACTGAAGGAGATCAAAGACGTATATGTGAGTATTTAACATAAATACTGCACCAAATACAACTCAATCACCACAGATTCCTAGTCTGACATCGTCCATGCTAAAAGTTAATAGTGTAAATCAGCACCAGCCTGCTGTAAGCCTAAGCTGGCCATATGGACCAAAGATGGCCTCTTAAAAAAGATCCAATTCCTCACTAATTAACACGTTTTGGTTTGAGTTCGATTTATTTATACAAACATGAAAGTAATACTCCTAATTTTCTAATGAAGAACATGGGTGCTTCCTGGCAACTGCAACAACACAACGGAAAGCACTTTTCCATTTGATTTTAATGAATGAGAACAGTGTGTTGAATTAATGTTAGCCCTAAAGGTGTTTGGGGATGTGTTTTAAAGCCTATAGGTGCAGGGCTTCATTAAAACATACTACTGTTGATAGTTAACTTTATGGCACCAGACTAGTCTTGCAATTATTCAATTTAATAACTGCATAGTGTATATTTTTATATGACCCTTTTTAAATAAACCCTTGAGCATGCTGATATTCCTGTGTTGCAAGTAAAAATAAAGATCACAAAATAACATAAAAAGTTTGGGTAAACATTGTAAATTAGACATACTCAAATTGGGTAAATTGGGTAAATTATCCAGTCATCTAATATTTCTGCCTTGCTTTTGACTGTCAATAGCAGTGTGTTTTTGTAGGATCTTTAGGAAAGTTTACATGGATCTACAATCATTATCCATAGTAGATCAATTTGAATAAATTAAAGTGAATGTTTCTGAGAGTCCTAAAATCAAATTAAATGTGTTTATATTTAATTAAATGTGTATTGGTTTTTTTATTATATAAAGTATATTGAAATATCTGCCCACAACTACAAATGCCAAAAACAACAAATCTAAGCCTGTCTGTCCATTCCAATAACAGTTTTGTTTTATTTTCTTCCACAGCTCACATACCTGGGCCCACCATTTAATGAGAAAGACTTCTCCCCTCCACGACCCAACAGCACCGCCCTTTCCCTGCCCAGCGCTGCCACTCGCCTGGAGCTTTGGCACGGTCTGGAGAACCAGGCTCGACTGGCACAAAACCAGAAAGCTTACTCCATTCTCTTGGCGGCCGTCAGGGAGCTAGCCCGGTCTACCCTCTGCCCCTCTCTCAAAACATCACTGTTACATTTCTGCACAGGACTTGACGGACTACTGGGGTCTATATCTGCACTGATGACAACACTGGGGTACGCAATTCCAGCCACATCTGCTAACATGAGGGTGATGAGTGGTGACACGCAGAGGGGCAGAGACCGACCTGCTCCCCTTATGAGTGCAGGTCTGTACCGATCCAGGGCCAGGGCGGAGTCAGGACAGCGTGGAAGCATGAGGCGGACTAGGACGAGGGTTGTTAGGGGCGACGAAGAGGATGCTGTGGACTTGATGAACACAAACAGTGAAGCCAGGAGAGCAGAGATACCTGGAGGGAGGACTGCTGGGCCAAAGGAGCGAGGAAAACGACGTGGAAAAAGGGAGGAGCCGGAGAGATGGGACTGGGATATTGAGAAAGACATGCAAAACGCAGGGGGAACAAAAAGAAAGCTGTTAAGTGTGACTGAGGAGCAAGAATTCAGCGTATCACCACCTGGAATTGAAATACAAACTAACATCAACTCAAACAACAACAATGCATTCAGTTACAATCTCAATGCACCATATGGAGACACACTCAGAAAAGAAGATGGTGTTTTTGCAGAGACAGGCCTTTCAGTTATGGTTACAAATGATGGTGAATCAAGTTCCTCTTCTTCCCAACATCACCGGTCACCACGCTCGCTCCTTCCTTCAACAATTCCACCTCCTCTTTCAACTCTTTCTCTGCTATACCAGTTTGGGACAGGAGAGGAGCACACCCTACTATCCCAGCCAGTCCCGCTGTCTTTACGAAAAGGGCTGTACTCACCTCCTCAGCGGTCATCTCCTCCGTCCTCTTCTCTATCGGTGCGACCCACAATGAATGACTTTGCACGGAAAGTAGAGGGTTTTTGGATACTGCGTGAACTGCAGAGCTGGTTGTGGCGATCAGCCAAGGACTTCAATCGCCTTAAAAAGAGACTCTGAGAAAGAGAAAGGAAAGTGTTGTATTAGACATTATTTGCACAAAATCAAATAAGACTGGATAAACTGCAAGAACACAGAAATTTCTGATTCCTTTCCGATCCACTGTGTAACATTTTAGCTAAAAAAAAGACTAAAATATAAACATGTTTTTTTTTTCTTTTCATTTGGGACTTTTTTTTTGCACTAAAAAGAGAGAAAAACAAAAACATAAGCAAGTTTGCATCTCCACAAACCTGACTCTTACTTGGCCCGAAGGAGGGCCTCCTCCTGCTTGTTTCCATGGAAATTATGTTCCTTTGCCAATAAATTTCCATAATATGCCATAAGAACATATCAGTCTCCATGAATGTGTAGTTTTAACAATTTCTATGGAATCATGCAGGTGATGTGATGATTCAAAGAGCGACAGAAATACAGCTGTTGGTGGCTGGCCACATGGACACACAAGGGTCAAGTGAGTGATAGGCAACCACACAGACAGGGCAGCCATTGAGAAAAATCTGATTCAGTGGCTTCTTAGTGTGAATCAGCAAACATTCACATTGTACCAAAGCAAGATGAGAAAATTGTGAATGGGTGCAAGACAAAAGAAAAGGAAATAGCCCGAGGATGAGGAGGGCAGTGATGAGGAGAGAGGAAGCAAAGGAAGACTGGAGGAGGCGTGAGTCAAGCGGGTACAAGGGCAGATGCTGAGTAATCCAGTCTGCCCGGGTGGTTACAGTAAGTCTACAACAGGGCTACACATGTAGTCCAGACAAAAGGTGGTCATAGTGGTATAAAATACACCATTGTGGTAAACCATAACTTTAAAAATATCATCATTTTCCATATTTGCTGTTTTTAAGGACACTCACGCAGATATAATTACACCAATTGTTTATTCCATATTTTCCACCTCACCATATTAAGTGTATATTTTTAATTTTACATGCTGCATTCTGTTGAAAATTACAGAAAGGTGTAAAGAAATTGTAAGATACATTAAAGTTAAAAGTGTGCTAAATAAATTAATGTTAAAATATTTCAAGCAAAAATACTACAGAGAACAATTAAATAGGACCAGCCATGAATAAAATATAATTGTTTTGACTTAAAGGTGCACTGTGTAACTTTTTTTAGAAGAGGGTACGCTACTTGCTTATCTCCATGGGGATGTTACAGTTAATACATTGCAGAATATTCCATGTAAAACTACATTAAATGACAAAGGTTACATAGTGCACCATTATTTATTCTTACTTAACATTAAATTACTAAATTGTTGACATTGATTTTATTCTCATGTACAATGTGTGAGAATGGAAATGGAGTTTCATAACTGCAACCTTATATTTAGAATTTCCTCTGTAGGAACCTGATTCGTTTAACAAGAAGTCTATTGTGTCTTTGCGATGTGCCATGAATTTTGTGGCTTTGTTGAATATACTGTATCTCTAAAGTATTTATTGAGAGAGATGTTTATTTATTATTTTTACTGTGTGAAAATACTCAAAGAATAAATCTTAGCTTTTCTACACAATGTCTTGTTACTACTCATTTGGGAACACATTATGAAATGGAAAAATGAATGGGAAGTCAATGTTTGAAATTTTATAGATGGGTTTAAGTCATTGGCACAGGGAGAGGAGTTTGGGGTCTTGGCTTTTTGGGGGAAACAAAGACTGGCTCATATTCATGCATTAAAATAAAGCCAGGGAGGTGGGGTGCAAAAGTTTATTATTTGTCTGTCCTGGTGAAAATTTATGATGTCCCATTTTGCCTTTCATCTTTGTCTAACCCTTCTGATTGATCTCTCCCCCTTTTAGTGCTTTCCCTTTGGGATCGCATTATCTCACGAAGCTCTTCTTCCAAAAACATTGCTGGGTGCTGTGACATTGAGGGATTTACATGAGCCAAACCAGTCCCAGGTACAAAGACACCCTGATAATCCCAGGACAACCACCTCAAATCTCTTCTGTCTTGTGTTAATGCACCCACCGCATCATGTCTGCTATGTGGTCACCTCTAGCTCTTTTATAAGATCTTTACTTATTGTCTTTTTTCTTCTTTGTTTGTCTTTATTGCTTTGGACTCTTTTTTACCATGTGCTCTACTGCCACAGGGCACATATTAAAGGATCAATGAGAATCTCCCTTTCCATCACCTCCGAGGTATACACCTGCACACAACCGCACAGCTTCCTCCTAAAAAAATAATCCTAAACGCACACATCCCGAGAAGCATTATACTGGTTTGAGAAGTGCACAACTTTAAAACATCAAACTACAGCAATACAAGTATCTAATAACACAAAATGGATCATGTTTATTATGAGCATGATTTTGTTTTGTACACTTTTGTATCATTTGTTTTGGCCTATTTGCTAATGTCATAATGCTTTGAGCAAATAAACTAAACTAATGGAGCAGGGGATAAGAGTTAAAACATCAAATTTTCTTGCACGTCAAATTTACTTGCAACTTTTCTGGTGCAGATCTGGTGCAGAATGTACGTATCTATATTATCCAGAACAAAAGTAGGTGATGCTACCAGGTCAAGATATTTTTGAGCATTAAAAACATCTGCAATTTAATAAATACATGTTTGATGAATGTAATACCGTACTGTGAAACATTACAGGCAATGTGGCACATCCTCCACCAGAAGTTAGGTGCACCTTTAAATATATTAAAACAAATGATGATGACATGGTCAGGTCTTGATTTAAAATAATTGAATATAATGAATTAATAACAATTGACTAGTCAAGTAAAACTCCCGTACTGGTACGATATAACCAAGTAAGTGCTGTAATATCACTTTAAGGATGATAGTAAGGGGAAGTAATCTGGAAAAATAAGTAAACATAATTTGCTTGCATTATTTTGTTAATAAATATTTAGTGTAATCCCTTTAGTCACACAGGAAGTGACTTGTATGAAGCGAGGTAGACTTTGTCAGCGATTACACATCATTACTTTCACTAAACAGGGCTAAGGGTTAACTCAGATCACTTATATACACACACTCAAGCATGAGACACTGTGTTTTTTACATTTAGAAAGCAGTCACTGAGAGGCCGCCAGTTGTCGACAAAGGCAGCTTGTGTGCTAGCTGCATGGATGACGACGGGCGTAATGCGTGCCCCTGTGTGGGCTTGCAAACACAGCACGTGTGTGAATCATTATCTCGATTGTGCCGCAGCTTCATTGGAATAAGACTTGTCATGCATTGCTATCTACCGACAATCACTCAGCACAAATCTGTCTGCTTTGCTTTGCCTGCTCTTGTTGTGTCTGTCAGCAGTGAACAGACAAATAGCTGTAACTAATAAGATACAGGAGAGAGGGGCCCTGTTAGTGGCCTAGGACCCAACTCTAGACACGTTTGATGAGAAAAGATAATGTGATTGACAAGCCATTGACATTATTGGCTTGTTAGGTGCATGAGGCAGCTGCTGAAAGAAGAACAGTTTGTCTCTGCTTTAAACCCACGGCACATGTGCTGTCTGTCTGACGGGCAGCCTGTGATCTCAGCCCCAGATGAGTCTGTGCAACTGTCATGCTACAAAACTTTTATTTGCTCTTTGCTGCGTTTCTTCCTCTTCCAGACTAACCCCATCTTTTTGTTGTCTTTTAAACGTTTGCCTTTTGGAGTAAATCCTCTCAACTTAAAGGTCAAGTGTGGGTAGCTATAAAGTTAAATGATTGCAGACAGTTTGCATCTAAACAAGAAATAAACATTGAGTCATGGCACAAAATATTCAATTCAAAATAATAGACGAGCTGTAATAAAGATTTTTTTTTTTGTTTATACACACAACCAGAATGATCACTATTTCACATGACTATTTCAAAGTAACTAAGAAGGCCCATCTCAAAGCAGCTATAATTCACACAGACACAGTGTTGTCAGGTTTCTCTCCTACTCTGTGTCTGGCCCTCTAAATTTGTCTTGTCTACTTTTCAGCATTAGTCCTCTGCCCCATTTGCCCTCCTTCTCCATGTCCATCCATCTTGTCCAACCACCCAGGTAGCCATTTTAAACCACTTTGTGTCATTTTCTCTCTTCTTACCCTGCATGTCCCCTGTTTTCTCTCCTCTACAATCGAACCCTTTCACGCTTCCCTCCAATTCCCCGGGCCACCCCCGCGCTCCTCTTTTTCCATCTGTCTATCTCTGTCTCCCTCCCTTCTCCGTTCTGCTCACCTGCAGCACATAAAAATTCCTCTTTTCTTTCTCCAGAGGATTGTTCGGTCGCTCAGGGATTTACTGCATTCCTCCATGTGCTCTTCTTGTACTCTGTATCTGTCTGCCCCATTTTAGCATCTTGGCAGTTCAACACAGCATTTGATTTAGCCCATCTTCCCCTCCTTTTGTCCTTTTAACACATTTGTATCCCTCCTTAACCCTTCTCTGTTTTCTTTCCTCATCCCTCCCTGTCGTTTAAAAATAACAATCTCTAATCCCAAGTCAGTTTTTTTCCATGACCAAACCCTCATTACTATTTTCCCCTTGCTGCTGCTGTACTTGCCCCACCTGGCCTCTCCCTGCTGGGTTTCTGCCACAATATGGGATGTCCCGCCTCCGCTCACGTCGCTGCAAGGTGCAGGGTTGGGCCACATCATTGGGGGGGCACTCCAACACCCAAGGCATAGGATGAGGTTGATTTATGGCCTAATCAATGACTGATCCGTGTGAGTAAAACCGCAGAGGAGTATGAGCTCTTTTATGTTTTCTCTGGGCTGTTGACTTTTGTAATTGAAAAAAAAAAAAAAAAAACACTGTCAGCTGTCAACTCCTGTTGTTCAGCTTCTCAACAAGTTTTCTAAAGCAATTAGTGGAATAGAGACAAAATAGTGTTAGTGATCTCATTTCAAGTTATTAGCTTGATTTTACATATACAAATATAAATAAATATATATATATGTGTGTGTGTGTGTGTATGTGTGGGTGTGTGTGTGTGTGTGTGTGAAAAAAATAACATAAAAATATATGTGAAAGGGGAGAAAAAAGAAGATTCATTCTAGTATTTTTAGTATTTGGTGTCCTGAGTCTTAATGCATTGAACAGAAGTGATCAGACCTTTTAGTTTTTATGTTTAATATTTTTGTCTCCCTGTTTCTTATTTTGTGTGTTGGTTGTGTTGTGAACAGTTTGGTGGACATAGAAAACAGGTGGTGGTGGCTACTTTAAAAAAGGAAAAGTAGAGCCAGATGACGGGCAGATGAGGGATGAAGGATGTTTGACGGCATCTAATATATTGAATAAGTGACAGACACTGGCACAAGCACAAACAGATGAAAAACACAAGAGGGCTGTGCTACATAGAACAGCAGGCAAGTGTATTCAAACGTAAGGTGATTCCCTGTACCTTTGTTGTCTGAGCCAAATCTTTCTAACACGAATCCAGTATTTAAGCACCTTCCAATACACATTTAAATTTTATGACAGGCTCCTGTGTTGCTTGTAAAATCACATATTTGATTAATAGGTGCACTGGAGTGTAAGAGTAAATTTGTATTTTTTTTTTTTCTTTTATTTTCCCTGGGGCCTTGGGTGAGAATCAATGAGGCGTTATACATATTGCCGTGTCGCGGTCTACACTACATGTTTGACAAGTCATGGTTGGTTAAGAGACTTAAATAACTGTTTTGGAGCAGCTGTCCAGCCAA